CGGAATTAGAACAGGCATGCCACAGTTCAACAATTTCTCACGAAAACTCGAAATATGATATCAGCAATCGAGTAACAACAATGAAATGCAAAATCAATCTGTTTATAAAAACAAGAAATTGCAGTTACAGGTATTCTCCAATTAACACTTTTAAGTGTATATCGTCTTGCCATAACTAAACATAACTTAGTTTCACATTGTTTCGCTGTCAGACGAAGATCCAACCAGAAGGTCTGGGTTTCGTTCTACACCTCGGTTAAATCTTTCTTCTTCATTTTTTAATGGCAAGAACATTACAATAGAGTTCTCCTGTTTTCCGTCAACGATTCTGGTCAGTCTTTGAAGAGTACTGAACCTGGTAACAAGGCAAAACAAATACATGCGACAGATTGTTCCACTGAATGGACTAAGAACTGAGGCAAACCTCATCGCAGTACGGACTACTGAAGCTTAATAAATGGAAGGATCTGCTGTGCGTCATCGTTCCGATAGGGGGAACAGCGACGAATTGGTTTGTGGCTTCGGTACCCTGTGACTAACAGGGTGGTCTACAGTAAAAAGAATCAGCAAGAGCTCTTGCATGGATAGAAAGCATTGCAAGAACAGGAAGGCTTCATGGCATTAGGTGGTCATTACCGTGATTTTCAACAATGCGGACACCAGCAGGATTACTGAAATCCTTCATGATATCCTGAAGAACATATTTGATGAGTGAAAGCTATCACACAGAGTGCTTAGAGATGATGGCGCTGAGGAAAGAATGTCAATCTTCCGCCTAATGATGGTCGGTACGAACTTCAAATTCGCGAGCAGTGACTGCCATCAGAAATTTGACATTCAATGGTTTCTCGAGCAAGTGTTGTTTTGAATAATTTTCACATGGATCACGAGCAAATTTCTATTTTTTGTTATTGGATGAAAGAACGGCGTTCTCTAAGAGTTGGACGGTTTCGCGAATTATATGAACAGTCGGGATATTAATTGCCCGATATGGATCAGCAGAAAAGCCGAAGCGAATCAGAAGGTGCTACTCCTGGATGTGGTCATGAGTAGATGGTCTTCACTGGAATTGGTTTATGTTCACCACAAAACAAACACTCTCATTCTAGCATATACTTATACCGACCTTAAAAGCTCATCCAGCATTTTCAGGAACATTACGACGAGAATGCTTTTACTCGCCCGGGGAACCTGTAACACCAGTTCTGCTCTTAAGGCAGAGATTTGACCAATGTGCTATATGTTTCAGAAGAATTATTATTCGGCATCAATATTTGACGGCGAGCTCGATAGAAAATATTTTTACCTAATCTCAAACTTAATGAAATCGCCTCAAAACGATGGCAATTCTGCCGCACACACTTCAGGAACTTGACTCAATCTAAAGATGATTTTGGTAACATGGAGCCTGCGATCCAATACAGGATTCATACATCACAAAAAATGGTTCTGTTTACGACGGACGCCCTGAGCCACCGAAAAACGGCGCTTAGCGTCGTTGCCGACTACTCAACGGCGGCGATGGCCAATTCAATAAGGTCTATACTGAAGAATACGGTAGTTGAATGTCTGAGTTAAAGAATAATTATCAGCAGTCCGGTTTATGCAGGTTGATAGTGTCAGTATTTCGGAACATATCATTTCTGGAAGATACCACTGCAATCAGTCGGGCGTTCTATAATTGACAGAAACCATTCAATACTTTGCCTTCTGTGGCACAAGAGTGGAATGGACCCACAATACCAAAAAAGGTCGTCTTCCAACTCCAGAGTGCCTGGTTCGATCACGAAGGAAAATTTATCCTTGTTTTAACCCCGCATTCCCTTGAGCAAGAATCTTACCACACGTTTCAACCGAGGTTTCACAGTAGGTAAAGCGCTGGACTAAGACTGAAGAGGTCGGGTCACTCACCTCTATGTCTCCCAACCAAAGACTATTCTGTGAGAAGGAAGCAGGAAACATGACGTAATATGGCCTCCATATAGCTGTGTCTATTTCGCCCTTAAAAATATGAGGCATTCCTGGATGATGGCATGGAAATGGAGTGCCACTAACTATTATTAACTTCATGAAAAGAAGGACGTCTTAATTGGGCTTCGTCATGAAAACGTGACATTGACGCGGTAAGGTTTGTTCTTTGTTTCTTCTGTACAGGAATTAATTCATATTTTAACGCTGAAACATAAAATTTGCTGTGATGACTCTGATAACAAGCATGATGAAAACTTCCGGACTACCGCAATGAATCACCTTCATCGCCAGTCGTGCATCCTGAAATTTAGCATTTGCCTTTGGGTTGATGCAGTAAATATGGTTGTTTGCTGACACTTTTATTTGTGCCCTGATAATGTTATCAGTAGGGGTGTGAAACGCCTCAAGAAAAGTATTTTTACCGCTGTGGAGTGCTATCAACCATCTATTAAGCAATTAGTTTCTGCTGAACAAGATAAATGTCTGCCTTATTATATGACAATGTTTATCTATGATATTTTTATGGTTATGTTCTCATGTTTTTGCATCTATGCTTGTCTCTGTTTTTCTGTGTCGATAATTTTTCTTTTCCTCATTTTAATACTGATTTTTTCAATTTCATGCCTCATGTTTAGTCAAATGGCACTTAATTTAGACTAAACAGGCGAAAGTTTGATCCTTGGTAACCTTTTATTACAGTATTAACTCCGCGGGATAGCCATGCTCGACGATTTCGTTCCCATTCATACTTCAATTTCGATATATGCTATATGACTGTAAACTCGTGGCTCTCTCTTGGTATTACATGCATAACGTATCAGTGTTGACCTAAATATCGCGTTTCAATTCCAATCGAATGGTCTACAGCTGCGTTGAAGTCACTAATTATAAAAGATTAGTTTTCAAACAAGTGTACGCCAGAAAACGCAGAAGGCAGTGATCAGCAATTAGCGGTGCAAATTAATAGCCCGTATTCTCGCTTCTGCAACCTCGAGAGTTGATCCTCAATACTTTTATGAAAGAGTTCTGCATAACTTAGCAGACAAGCATCATAATCAAAAGCGGGCAATGATCATGATAAGAGATGCTACGGTAGTGCGAACTGCGGAGGAATCAGGTTTCCGTAGTCATATTTTTCCTTCATGTTCATGAAAGGTTTCACAGCACGAAAATGACACTCATAACGCAAAACTTAACGTTCGGGTATATAGGCTCTATATTAAATGATATGTACGCCGCTGAGTGAATTCTGCCTAAACGTGACGAGAAAATATGACCATTAAGGCATATGGTCTTCCATGACTATGGAACTGCTATCAAATGCGCTTTACTTTCCATCACAGCATCTCCTCTCGGGTTGCAGAGGCAGGTGCGTCAGAGAGTTCTTCAACCGTTCACGATCTCGTTCTCGATTTCATCTGTAAAGATAAAAATGTCAGTTTCCTGCTGCTCTATAGGCGTCTTCCTGCGGTTGCGCGGGGTCAAGGAGTTCCTTAAAATACTCCCTCCATCGCCGAAGAATGACATCATCCTTGGTAAAAGGATGTCCAGATCTGTCCTTCAAGATTCTTAGCCTGCCCGTCTTTTCACCTCGGAGCCGGCGGATGGTCTGCCAGAATACTTTGTTTGCCGTGTGGAAATTCGAATTCCAACACGTCAACGAGCTTCTCCCAGGAATCAGCTCTGGATTTTGCGACATCTGTAGCTGCCGCCTTGCTTGCTTCGACATATCGCACACCAGTGGAAGTGTTTTTGTTTCCAAGTCATTTCTTCAATGCAGCCTTCTTTTCTTTAACTGTCAGTTGTCCGTGTCTCTCGTGTCCACCAGGAATTTGTTTCCTAACCTCCAGGCGGCAGGCCAACCTGTTTAAATCCGCAGCGTTCCATTCTTAAAGAACTTCCACTCCATTGACGCATCAGTTGTCATCACTGGGATCTGTTCAAACCGTCATGCGATGTTGGTTGGAAATTTCGCTCTCGTGTCCACCGAAGAAAATGTTTCCCATTTGATTCTCCGGTTGCTTCTGCCACCAGATCTTCGTATGCTACTGTATTTCTTACAGCGCAGCGTGCCAACAACAGGGTGATGATCGGCTGATAGCTCTGCGCCTCTTTTAACACGAACATCCATTACTGAGCGTCTGAAGTCAGACGATACGATTATCAAATCGATCATCGACTTCTGTGCACAAGCTTCCCTGTAGCAAATACAGTGATGCACTCTTCGATGCTCAAAGAAGATGTTCATGATGGAAAGTCGATTGTTTGCACAAAACCACAACAACTTCGTTCTGTTATTGTTGAGATCACTAGGGCTGCTGATGATGCATGTGCATATGAAAACAGTATTGATACTTGATTGA